CCTGAACTTGGGGCTCCACCACCCCCTACAGTTCTGCCTTGTGACCACGAGGATGCTGGGGAGGGAAGGGGTGTGAGGCAACAGGTGGAGACTGTGGAAGAGATGGTCCTCCGCGGAAGCCATAGCAATGGCAATAGGCGATTTTTGTTGTTGTTGTTGTTTTGTTTTGTTTTTTCGAGACAGGGGTCTCTCTGTGTAGCTCTGGATGTCCTGGAACTCACTCTGTAGACCAGGCTGGCCTTGAACTCACAGACACCACTGCCTTTGCAATGTCCGGAGTGCTGGCATTAAAGGCTTGCACCACTACACCTGGCTACAATAGCCACTTAAAAAAAATTATCAATTTGTGTATTGTATGTATACGTGTGCTCTATTTGCATGTAAGCCTGCATGACAGAAGAGGGCACCAGACAAAAGTGGGTATCGGATCCCATCACAGATGGTTGTGAGCCACCAGGTGGTTGCTGGGAATTGGACCCAGCACCTCTGGAAGAGCAGCCACTGCTCTTAGCCACTGAGCCATCTCTCCAGCCCCTGGTGATAGCCACTTAAACACGGTGAGTGAGTAGTCATGGTGGCCCAAGCTGCCATGGTGATGGTGGTGCCCAGGTGGTAACCACAAAGGCGGCCCTCGAACGGACCAGTAAGGATGAGGCAGGCTGGCTATCACAGTGATTTACGTACTTTTGGCACTGCAGATTGAACTCGGAGCCTTGCACATGCTAAAGCCTATGCCCTACCACGGAGCAACACCCTTAGTCCTGTGAGAGTGTGTGACTTTTGTTCACTTATCTGTTTTCTGAGACAGGACTTGACTAGATAGCACGGGCTGGTCTGGAATTTACCATGTAGACCAAACTGGCCTGGAACTCGAAGAAGTGCGGGGATCAAAGGCTAAAGGCATACGCCACGCCACACCACGCCACGCCACGCCACCACACCTAGCCTCTTGTTAGTGTTTTGAATGAAGCATGACACAGGGGAGATCAGGTGCTGTCACTCACTACAGTCACCATAAACAGCAGGCCGATGTCTCCTCACCTCAAATACCCTCTTCCTCGTGCAAGCATACGGGTGGTACCCCACTTCTGAGTAAGGTGACCCTCTGCAGTATCCAGGTACCCCTTTCTACCCAATACTTACAGTCATCCAGTCAATGGGTCCGAGGAAGAGTGGATCTCCCCGGAGTCTTAGCCAGGAAGAGAAGTGGACAGGGGAAGAAGAGTAAGAGGAAAAAGAAAGGAGGAGAGGAAAGAGCCGGAAGGGGAAGACGGGCAGGGAAAAGGGACAAATGGGGTCAGGCATGGGAAGAAGAGAAGGCAGAGGAGAAAGGGAATGAAAGGGGAATGAAGAGGAGAAGAAAGGAACAGGGAGAGAGGAGGGAGGAGAGGATGGGGAGAGGAGGAAGGAGGCGGGAATAGGAAGGCGACAGAGGACCAGGAGGAAGCAGAGGACAAAGAGGGCCCAAACCTCTGGGGACCACAGCAGAGTGTGTGGAGAAGCGCTGAGAAGTGGTTCTGGCTGATGGGGCCATGACCTTGGGGGATGGGCTGCTCAGAGGGACCCTTTCTGGGGTCAAGGGAGGCTCTTGCTCAATTGTTGAGGCTATTTGAAAGCAAGTGCCCCTTTTAGGGCTGGAGGCCTGGACTCATCATCTGGTTTCTCTGGAATATGGCACTGCAAAGGGAAAGTCTGTGGGAGCCCGTGGCTCGAGATAGGACTTACTAGTGGTTGAGGTGATTACTTGGAGCATTTGGGTAGCTGGACAGAGCTAGCTGGTGGCTGGGCTGCACAGTCTTGACCTACTCTGGAGGCAGCCATCTGTCGGAAGGTCCAGAAGTGCCAACCGTCCCAGGGGCTGTACCGCCACCTGCTGAGAGGCCTGGGCCGTCCCAGGTCCTTCGCAGCGGGGCCGTGGGCTCGCTGCAAGTAGGAAGGAGGGACGCGGAAGGGGGCGCGCAGGTGAGTGCAGGCTGGTTGTTCCCCTGCGCTCCAGCCCTTCTCACTAGGGAGTTGCGTGCCCGGGTAAACACCAGGCGCGATGTGCGCGGTGTATCCACGGAGAGACAAAGCCAGGGCGGGGCGGGGGCGCCGCCCGCGATGCCAGGGCGGGGGTGCAGGGCGCAGAGCAGCCTCCCCTGGCGCGGGTCGCCCACCGCCTGGGAACCCTGAGC